CAGTTCGCTCTTCTCTTTGAAAAGTAAAGGAAAAATTTCTTCATTGATATACAGTACCCCTGCCCACGCCACCCCCGCCCTGAGTACACTCTACTATGCAACCTTCATTTTGGACTCTTGTGATAACCATAATACCCTATCACCTATCCTATATAGCTTTTAAACTGTTCTCTCCCTCATCTGTATACATTGTTTTTTTAAGATGTGTATCTTTAATGTGCAGAATAGTTAGAAGGTTTTTTTAGTCATTATTATAAATGGGAAATGTCAGATAACAAGATAGTAAATAAGGAATGTTAATTGTTAAGTGTCATTGCGTTGTCCCTGACTCATAGTAGCCCTACATACAGCAGGATAAATTTCTGCTATTCTTAAGCCACATGGGAACTCTGATGGCCTAGTGGTAAAAAACTTTACTACAGTCTCAGGCATGTGGTTCAAATCCACTAGCTGCTCCATAGAAGGATGAGGAGACTCCTGTGTGATTAACTGCCTCTGAAAACCTGCTGGAGCGTTAGCTATGGGTCAGTTCCGACTTGATGGTATACAACAATAGCAGCAAGCTTAAGTGGTTTTTTTAGGTGCTGTTGAGTTGAGTACAACTCACAACAACCCTTTGAACAACAGATCTGAACCCTGTCCTAGCCTGTTAATATCCTCATCATCTCTGACAACACTTGAATCAATTACTGCCGTCACTGTGACAGTTGTATCTCGGGGCTCATCCTCTCTTTCACTGATCCTCTGCTTTTTCAAGCATGATGCTCCTTTCCAAGGAATAGCCTCTCCTAGCAACATGTCCAAGTATGTGAGATGAAGCTTTGGCATCTTTGCCTCCAAGAAGCTCTCTGGCTGCACCTTTTCTGTGATATTATCTCTTTGTTCTTTAGGTCATAGGATATTCCGTTCTGTGCGTCAATTTTCATCTGTCATCTTAAATTCATTGTCCAGCTCTCAGACACATAGCAAGTAATTGAAGTCACTGTCATAGTGTTGGGGATCTTTCTCTTTTTTGTTAACTTTCGCCTTTTTCTGGCATAATATCATTTTCCAGAGATTAGCCTCTCCTGATAACATATCTAAAGTATGTGTGGCAATATATGATTAGGCATTATTTGTATGAAAACAGTTCAGAATAAGAGATGTACAGCAAAGTGAACTGGGGGAGGTGGAGGAATGAAGAAATGATACAATAATGGGTTGGCAGAATGAGGAAATGATGGAGCAATGAATGTTATTGGGATTTTTTTTTAAAGTGAACTGGGTAGGGAGGAAAATGTGTAACAATGAATGAATGAAAATCCAACTTTTCTGTACATTTTTGTTAAAATCACAATTAAAGTGTTTGATAGTCTCAGCATCTTTTCAGCAGCACTCTGGCTACACTTCTTTTGGCAGTCAAAAAGAAAAATGTTCAGTGCTCTCCAATAATGCCACAATGCAAAGATGTTAATTCTTCTTTGATCTTGCATATTCGTTTTCTCATTTTCATATTCATACAAAGCAAAATGAGCAGTTGGTAAATTTAATTTACCCTAGACTACCAGGAGAACAAACCAGTCGGTCTTAAAGGAAATATAACCAGAATGCAAGAACAACATTTCATCATCCTGCTTTGGAGGCATTATCAAAAGAAAGTATTTGCTAGAAAAGGGCATCATATTTGGTCAAGTAGGACCCCTAAAATAAGGGGAAACCCTCAGGGAAATGGATTAATGAGATTGTCAGTACAGTGGGTTCAAACACAGCCGTAGACATAAAAATGGCACAGAACCAGGCACCATTTTGTGTTTGCACATAAAATCACCATGAGTTGGAGCTGATTTGACAGTAACAACAGCAACAAGTATTTGCACAATTTTAGAAAAGGTGATTTATTCATTGGTTAGACTCAAGCTAGAATTCATTTGTGAGACTGATGGTGAGTGATCAACCATATGAGATCAAAGGGCAACATCATATATTGAAGGGTAAAGCTCCAAAGGTGGAAATGGATAAGAAAAAAGAAGGGAAGAAGTGGGAGGTGTGATTTTATGTTGTGAGATATGCAGTCAGTGTTGCAACACAGTGTGAATGAACGAATGAATGGAAAGCCAATATGCTCTTTTCACTTTTATTTACAGAAATGTGTAAGGGGAGCTTGTATTTAGGTCTTTCAGCTTGTTTTTGTGTTACTGTTTAGTATGGATTTTCTGTCAGATTTTGAGATGATGCTGCAACGGAAGAAGAGCATGAGTGGCAAACGCAGACGCAACCGTGATGGTGGTACCTTTATTAGTGATGCGGACGATGTTGTGAGTGCCATGATTGTCAAGATGAATGAAGCTGCTGAGGTTAGATGGATTGTTGCTTGATCCATTTTTTCTTTGCCTTACACAATTGATTGGATTACTTCTTTTAGCTTAGCTTTTACTTAAACTACCTATAGGATACTTTGGTTTTTTTATAAAAAAAATTTGTTCTACATTTTAAACATGTCATGGAAGTAATTTTCATTTTAATTGGGTCCAGATAGTTTACTATAAAGTTTTAAGGCTTCTTCGTTATAAAAAATGTTTTAAATTCATAGGTTATTCTCTTACCTCTTTTATGATACTGTGCTTAACTCATTGCATTTATTTATTTAATCTCTAAATTGCAAAAGGTTGCCCTGATGTTGTAGTCCATGTAGTACTACTAAGCCAAAGGCTGCATTTCTCTCTGAGAGTTCAAAGCAATCAGGGCTCCATGGGAGAGAGACTCGGCAATCTGCTCCCATTGTGACGATTTATACTGACTAGACTTGATGACAGTGAGTAATAGTAAATTGCAAAAATTGGCCAGGGTTTATATTAGAAAAATATGGCCTGACCCTTAAACACTTAAAGTATCTGTAATAAGCTGTGGTGACTTAGTGTTAAAGCATTATGCCGCCTGCAGTAATAAAGCAGATGGTTCTTATTCACCAGGTGCTCATCACAAAAGATACAGGCAATCTTTTGAGCAATGTATTTGACCTATGAGTCAGTTCTGACATGACAGTGGATACAACAATAACATCAAAATATCTATGGATTCAATGATAATTTTATTTTAGAATTTGTTCTAAAACAATTCAAGAATAGAAGGAAAAGTATTTAGAGTAATTGTTATTGAGAAAATGCTGTTGAGTTGACTACAACTCATCGTGACCATATGAATAACAGATTGGAACCTTGCCCTGTGCCCTCATCACAGTGCTCAAGTCCATTGAACCTCTTCACTGTGTTGAGGGTCTTCCTTTCTTTCACTAACATTTCCCAGCAATTTCTTTTAGAGAGAGAGTGAAAATAATGGTCATTTGTGGCTATCTAACAGAGATTCATTCTGTTTCTCTGTTTTATGTATAGTTGAGATTTTTCTATAATTAAAAAATTAGGGAAAAAAATTACCCAAGTATTTACTGTAACCTTTCTTTGATACTCTCTAAGCTTTACAATATAAAATGTGTTCCTAATACAAACATTTCTTGACTATAATTTGTACTTTTGTAGACTTTCTGAAAACTTGGCAGTAGTAACAATATTTTAAATTTAAACAGTTCTCTATAAATGTTAAAGTTAAGCATTCTGATTGTTTGGTTTTGAGCAACACAGTCGGGCTGTAAGAAAAGGGGAAAAAATATTTCTTAAAGGATAAATTGCTTTTCTCTGAAATACTACTGATTTATTTCAGAGTTTAGAAGGATAATAGTATAGTAACTATTAAATTGTACTGCAGATTGATTTCTTTTTTTCCTCTCCAACCTTTTTTCTAATTTTCTTTCTTGATAGGAAGACAGGCAGCTAAACAATCAAAAAAAACCAGCACTAAAAAAATTAACTTTGTTACCTACGGTTGTTATGCATCTTAAGAAGTAAGTATTTTGTTTTCTTGAATATTAATTTTCCCCCCTCCCTCCTTTTAGTGGCGTGAATCTGCTGTGGCATTATAGAGGTAATAGTAATAATCAAATTCACAGAAATACAATAGTGGATACAATTTCCTAAATTAGATTTCTTCCTCATAAATTTTTCTTAAACCTTCAGTATCTAATGCAGACAGAACAACAGCATATTGATATGAACATTTTAGTAACCATTCATTTTGATTTTTATAGACAGTTTGGGCTCTGGCAAGTTGTATTTATTTTTCCAGTGTGACTGAATAGAACAAATCCAGGGGGACTCTACTTGTAACAAGTAGTGCCTTTTGAAGTACAGTGTTTATATGATGACAAACCAGCACATTTGGATTTTCTTATATTGTCAAGTATGTCATTGAGTCGTCTAGAATGAGGATGTCTTTTCTTAGTAGAGACTTGATATCAAAGCTCCTCTATTCATTGATTTTTCTCATATTTCTGAGCTTTGAAATGTCAACTTTGTTTTCTCCTCAAACCAAATTACAAATTACAACCTAGTTTTGATAACTGAAAATAAATGAATTAGTACATTTGTGAGCCAACAACCTAAGAAGAGATCTGTGACTGAAAACTATGACAGATGTACATAGTATTTTTCATGGTTTTGCAAACATAACTGGAATTAGCATAAATTAACTTCTGTAAATAGAATTTAAAAACCAGTGTTGTGATTTGTTTTTCATTTCTGGAAAATGGTATTCTCCTTGGTGTATTTTACAGAGAATAATATGATAATTACTATTCTGATAGAGTGAACATTCTTCTGTTAATTGTAGTAGTCAGAGCTGATTATTCTTACTAGCTTTACTGTTCATACCAGCATTAACATATCTTGTGTGCTTTACATTTTGGCAGGATGATGTTAAACATCTTTGTTTGACTAGTCTATATATTTCTTGTAAACGGGAACTAAATTTTATATTACTTTTGAAACTAGCATAGATAGTAAATATTAAAAGCAATTTTTGGAAATTTTACCAAGTAGTGAAAGGAAAATCAGAAAAATGGACTAGAGCTATAGATTTAAAAATAATAAAAAAATATTACTATTGCAGGCAGGACCTGAAGGAAACATTTATTGACAGTGGTGTCATGTCTGCCATCAAAGAATGGCTCTCACCGCTACCAGATAGGAGTTTGCCAGCACTGAAGATTCGGGAGGAGCTGTTGAAGATTCTACAGGAGGTTAGAAACAGATAATCCATTTGCTTTTCATTAATTATCTAACATGGTTTGTGTTAGTTAATTATCTAATGTGGTTTGTACAGTGTGCCAGAAGAATAATTGGGGAAAAAGGGGGCATCGGAATAAAATGAGCAAAAAAGATAGTGTTTCCAGAATGGAAATCTAAATCCACTAGATAAAAATAAAACATGAATAGGACCAAGTTATAAAATCTTGATTGCTTGAACTACATGAGAACAGCCATTATTTTCATAATCACAGTGTGACAACTATATTGTTTATGCCAAAAATAAGAGCACATGTATTTTGCTGAATATTTTACAGAGGAAATGAAAATTATAGGAAATATTCTTTCAGTGGGGCGTCTTAGGAAGTTGGCATAGCACAACTCCTGAAAAAATAGTCTACATTGATAAGGAGAGTAAAAAGCATTTAAGATGCAACTGTTGATCTCTGTGGATAGAGCTCTGGTGGTGTAGTCCACAGGAAGCTGCATTGCTAAGCTGGAGGCAGCTCCTCTATCTCTGTTTTGAATCCAGTCTCCTTGTGTATGATTTACAGACTCCGAAAACCCCCTGGAGGGTTAACTATGAATCACTTCTGACTCCATTACAATAAACACTTAATGCAGTTTGAATATTGAAGTTGCAGAATCTTGCATTCCTCATTATTGTTGTTATATCGGGTTGAAATGAACATATTCTAGTGACATCTTTGAAGTAGAAAATATACCAGCTTCTGAGTTAGATAAACTGAATTTGAATCTTAACTGACTGGACTACCTTAATGTGCCTTTGACACCTTGTGCAAGCTACTTTTGAAATTTCTAAGGAACTTCCTATGCCAAACACTCTTCTAGGCAACTTATGTAATCTGGAGGACAGTCAGCTGGCCGACCGACTGGAAAAGATTGATATTTGTTCCCATTCCAAAGAAAGGTGACCCAACAAAGTGTGGAAATTATTGAACAATATCATTAGTATCACATGCAAGCAAGATTCTGCTGATAATTTTCCAGAAACGTTTGGAACAATATATACAGGCTGGATTTAGAAGAGGTTATGGTACTAGGGATATTATAGCTAATGTTAGATGGACCTTGGCAGAGTCAGAAGAATGTCTGTCTGTGCTTCATTGACTGTGCAAAGGCTTTTAACTGTGTGGATCACAACAAGCTGTGACTGACTCTGGGAAGAAATGGAATCCCAGAACATTTGATTGTGCTAATGCGAAACCTATACTTGTACCAAGAGGCAGTCATCAGAACAGAGCAAGGAGACACTACATGATTCAAAATCAAGAAGGGGGGGTCCACCAGAGATGTATTCTGTCTCCTTTTCAATCTGTATGCAGAACAGATCATCCGAGTTTCTGGGTTGTAGGAGGAGGAATGTGGCATCAGGATTGGTGGAAGAGTCAACAACCTGTGATTTGCAGATGACACATCCCTGCTTGCTGAAACTGGGAGGACCTGAAGTGCTTGCTGCAGAAGGTCAAGGACTTCAGCCTCCTATATGGATTGAAGCTCAACTTCAAGAAAACAAAGATTCTCACAACTGGACCAATTGGCAGCATCAGTATGGATGGTGAAGAGATTGAGATAGTTAACAGTTGTAGTTTACTTGCTTCCACAGTCAATACTCTTGGTAACAGCAGCCAGGAAATGAGATGAATGCCATTGGGAAAGTCAGCTGTGAAGGACCTCTCAAGAGTGCTGAAGAGCAGCGACGTCAGGCTGGAGACTAAGGTGTGCCTGATCCGGGCTATAGTCTCTCATCAGAGAGTTGGACAGTGAATAGGGATGATAGAGAATTGATGCCTTTGAGCTGTGGTGCTGGAGAATATACCATGGACTGCTAGAAGAACAAATAATTTTGTCCTGGAGAGGGTGAAGTTGGGCTGCACCTTGAAGTCAAGGATTCTGAAGCTTCGTCTGACATACTTTGGGCATGTTGCAAGGAGGGACTGGTCCTTGGAGAGGGACATCATGTTTGGCAGA